TTGTGGCCAGGGTGGGAATGGAAGTGGAGGAGGAGGAGGTGGTGGTAGTGGTGGGGGTGGAGGAGGAGGATCTGGCTCTGGCTCTGGCTCAGGCTCAGGTTATGGTAGCGGGTCTGGTTATGGCTCTGGATATGGAGGAGGGAAAGGTAATTAAAGCTTGCCATGAACACAGAGGATACTGTTTCTTTTGTATTCTGAAATAAAATTGTAGGAGCTCACACATGCTGTTGGCGAGTGATTTCAACCATGCATGTGTGTATGCTATCGATAAAGTCACTTTTTCAAATGCTATAAATAAAGAAAACATTTTACTCTAAGAATATATTTTATAGATAATCTCTCCGCAAAACCAAATCAAATGCGCATGTTTCTTTTCCATAAGAACAATTAGATCTCATCGCAAAAAAAGGAATTTAAATAAAATTAAAAGAAAAGAGCTTGTACTTTCTAAAATTGAAAATCTCCTTCTGGAGCTCAAGATAGACGCCGTGCAACTTCAAATAAAATTACTTACCTCTCTCTACGTAAATGTCACACGGAGTTTTTGATCCCTCACCGAAGGCGGACAAAAGGCCATTAGAAGTTGCAAAAAGTGAGTTTTACAACCAAAGAACCACCTGTAGACAAGTCCTATGAGTATTTCATAAAATGGCCATTCTTCGAATCAGAAATGTCCCATGACAATTATTGGCATTTAATGCTCAGAGTCTTAAGACAAACTATAATTTCAAGAAAACTATTGCCATTTGCTATTAAAATTATGGGAGAAAAAAGGAGAGAGGATATGTTTCAAGGCACAACTACTTTAGTAATCAGTAAAGATAATTCAGAATAGCAGATCCCCAATAACAAAAAAAAAAACCCTTTTCTTGTTGCACTCAGATTATTAAAGCACGCCAAAAATTCATGAGTTTTTTGGATAACTCTAATGGATGCCTTCTAAAGCACGCCAAAAATTCATGAGTTTTTTAGATAACTCTAATGGATGCCTTCTTTAAAAAAAAAAAAAAAAGGAAAGAAGAAGTTTTTAAGATTGTAATAATTGCTGAATGTACAGTTCTGTTATGAAATGCCTAGACTTGTAAGTTGAATGGGTATTCTGTTTAAAGCAATTTGTAAGTTTTCAAAACTGAATTACTTGGCAAAAAAATTAACCTTTTTCATATGGCTGTATGGATAATACTTTCAGTCTTTATGGCTCTAAAAGATGGGCGCAGATCACCGAATTTACTTTCCAGGAAGTTACTTCTGGCTTGGATTCCATCGCCGAGACCATAACGATGGTGCCGCCTTTGACGGCCCTCAGGGACCATGGCCCATGCTACTCCACCAACTAGGAATGCATGAAATAGCACATCTTCTAACTTGGTCTTGACCAGAATGATGATCCAAATGCCGATGCCATTATTTCTTCAAGAATTCGTCCTGGCATTGCGAGAAGCGATTTGCGTGAGGATGATATTCAGGGTGTAGGAGCCTTATTCCGATTCACTAATAATTAATAAGAACCAAAGGGAAGGAGAATGATGCTCGCAGCTTTTATTATCTTCATTAAGAGCATATTCCCATCTTTTTTCTAATAATTAATGACTTCGTGTTTAAGCCATCCTAAAGCTGTTTAAAGTCCCTGTCTGCAGATGTATTTCCTCGTAAGCAAGTTTATTTTTTATAGAAAACTTTATGAATCGCCCGCTGCAGAAGGGTTTTGGCCGCACAATTGTTCCTCAGCTTATATCCAACCTCTTGTTTTTGTTCTGTTTAATTTGGTCTCAAAAACAAAAGGATAGAAGTTGTGATGAGCTTCTAGTATTTAAACAAATTCCAAGAAAACTTGAGCAGGTTTGCAAACAAACATCTCGAAAATGTACGCTTGACCCTACATCGAAGAACTTCTACAATTTCTATTATTTTTGCATGAGATCTGTTCATGAACTCTTGCCATGTTGCTATTTTGCATGGAGCTTTTATAAAATAAGCTTGGAAACTTCTACAATATTGCTCTTTTGCATCTCATAAAAAGTTTTGCTTTGACAAGAGGGTGCAGACTGTAGAGTCTGAGGCCCAGGTTGTACCTAATTAGGCCTTCTGCAGCCTTTTTGGTGGGGGAGACTTTAAAGGCCTTGCAAATACGGGCTTGGAGTGATTTAATACACATGAGTCCGATTAAAGTTTACCATCACGCCCAATTTATTTTAAATAAGCTTAAAATCCCAGTCCGTGTGAGCATAACAATCACGCGTGGCTTCCGAATTCTATTAAACGATCTCCTTAATATTCTCTCTGTTTCTGTTGTAATTAAAGATTAGGGTTTTGATGTTGATGATTTTTAAGAAAATTATTAGCAATTCAATTTGCAAGATTTTGGGCCTTTGGCATCTAATCAGAAAGAAAATATTTGATGATATTTACTGATGAGACTGGATTTACCTCTTCGATTCTACTGAGAGTCTTATATTTCATTACTTTTATTTAAAAGTTGAAATTGATGAACTGAAAATTTAATTATATTTTTCCAATTATTAAACCAGTTCTTAAGTAGACTGATATGAAGGTGGAAGGAGGTTGAATTGATTAAATATCTACATCGCTCGATTTATTGCATGCATCCCTATTTAAATTTATTGGACTTGAAAATAACATCCAGAGTAAAACTCGAAAACAACACGGAATGTCATTGCTAGTTTAAGGAGTATCCATACCTATTACTATTAGTAAAGTCGATTGGTTCTTTTTCCTTTTTACCTTGGCAGACAAGCAAGCAAAACCTTGTATTTCCTTTCCTCCTTGTATTATTTAGGTCATAACTCTCTATCTTTACGTGTATTTATATATAATTCAGAAGAAATTAAATTTATGGCTCCGTACTAAAATTCTTATTCTAGAAGAAGAGAGAATACCCTCATTTTTAATTAACCAAACTACGGTATTTCATATAAAATGCATTGCTCAGACAATATTATTTTGGCTTTTTGAGTTTAAATTAGGTTTAATTTTATATTTTAAAATTTTAGTGTTTAAATTTTTAATTTATTTCATTTGATTCTTAATTAAATCTGGATCCTAAGAATCAATTTAATTTCACCCCTATCAAATTTCAAAAGCCCCCTAATTTCAACATGTTTTAAATTTTCTTTTTAGTTGATATTTAATTTTTTAATTTTTTTAATTTCACCTCTGTTTTCAACTAAATTTAACTCTAAATTCGTGTGTCTTTTGTGATCAAAACAAATGGGGCAAACTTGTTTCTATATTTGAAAAGCTTGTCCACAGATTACAGCTGATAAACGTTATGCTCTGTGTGCGATGGACTTGGAGACTAGAACCGATCCTAATTCCTATACATTAATTAAATGTCTTTTCTCTGGTGGCCATCTTGGGTTTCGTCGGATGAAATTATAGAGTACTGTATGGACGGACTTGTTATGCCTGCGGTAATGCTCTGTGACACAGACAACATGCGGCTGCCTGCACAAATGGACCTTGAAGAGACTCGTCCAAATAATCCGCGATTATTTGTATTTTGCAAACATAATTTATTTACAATCTCAAAGAAATGGTTTGCAAAATAGTTTGAGGCTTGCAAGGAGATACTTTGCAAACAAAGACTCCAACCACTCTCTAAGATCAGGATGGCCTTATTAAACACAAATTCGTAACTAGAAACTGATGGAAATTCATTCTTAATTTAAATAATAGAAACTGAAAGCATCATTCTCCTTTGTACGCGCTTCAATTAGCGAATCTGTATAAAGCTCGTACACCCTGAATATCATCCGGACTCAAATCCCTTTTCGTAATCCCAGGAGGAATACTGTAAGACATGATGGCATTGGCATTTGGATCATCATTGTGGTCAAGACCGAGGAGATGTCCTATTTCATGCACAGCAACAGATTCCAGGTCCATCTGGTTAGGTCCTGGGTTTTCACTCCAATTTTCATCCGCATCGAAATGGAACATTGCATTCCTAACTGGTGGAGTAGCATGGGCTAAGGTCCCTCGAGGACCGTCAAAGGCTTTACCATCGTTATGGTCTCCACGATGGAATCCAATTACAATATCTGCAGGGGAGCTACCGGTAACTTCCTGAAAAGTGAATTCGGTGACCTGTGCCCATCTCTGAAAAGCTTTTGCGCAGATGGACCTTATGTTCTGTGCAGCCGGGACTTGGACACTGGAACGAAACGTGTACGTCAATTGTCTTTTTGCCCATCTAGGACTTCCAGGAATGAAATTGTAGTGAGCTAGTGTGTGGATGGACTTGTGAGTATGGTAATGCTTTGTGCCATTGACAACATCTGGCACGCCACATCTAGGCTGCATCATTTCGTGCACTGTACTATTGTCTAGGCTTCCTGTAACGTTCAAATGATGGTTCTGCTGATATGCCTTGATTGCAGACTCTAAAAGATCATCAAACTCATCGTCATTGGCATGGTTATGGCCCTTCTTTCCTTGATGATCATGGTTATGGCCCTTCGTTTAATCCGAATAATTTTTTAGAAATTCAGTTCATCCAACTTGATCGAATCCAAACCCGACGGGTCTAGGGGGGGGGGGGGGAGTGTAAGAATTAAACACTGCCATCCAGATTTTTTTTCCCCTCATTACTCGTACGTACACCCTGGAATGAAATTCAAAATCTCCAACTCGAACCTCACAACTACCAACTCTGATAGAAGCAATCAGGAGCCCTTTCTTCGTTCTTTCCAAGCTCGAGCTGTTGAGTTTCTTGTATCAATCAATCTTTCATGTACCCGGTTCTTTATACTTTATTTCGTATACTATTGTTGTCCAGGACAGGGATTTTGATTAAGTTTTCTCCATGGGTTCCGTGATTCCTTATGCCTTTCTTCCGTGTTGTTGCATTCAAATTAGGCTAAGAGATGGCTGTTTAGATGAATGTAGAAGGCTAATATAGATCCTGTCCTTGTTCATCAATTTTATTTTTTAATTATGTATTATTGTGTTGGGGAGAGAATTTAAGCTCCATCTTCTGCATGGGGACGGATGGCCCTATTCTAGAATTTCCACAGTGTGGGAAAACAGACAAGTCAAGTAGCAAGTTGTCACGGGGTTAAATTTTTTGCAACACAATTCAACCCAATGCGATAGTCTAGTCCCAACTAAACTCAGCCTTGCCTCCCCTTTTTGCTCGTATTTCCTACGACTATGTGTTTCGCTCACCCAACGAAGTTCCCACAATTTCTAAGTCGTATAAAAGGAACAAACACAAGTAAGCACACAAGTTTACAAGAATACCTAAGGTCCATCACCTAAGCTCCCACGTCCATGCCAAGTCGCAAGCTCAACGACTCGCATAGACCATTGCACGCTACCTGCTGAATTCGTTTCTGCCTATGCAAGGCTGCCGCTGTCCATCGCTGCCGAATTCTAGGCAATGTGCTTTCGTTGGCGCATCCCCGCGTCTAGAGCCTTAACACAAGTTTTCATTACAAGTTTCCCGTGTAAACATGTATATTTTTTCAATTCAATTTTGATCAAAAAAAAAATATTATTTTTTCTATTTGTTAGTTTGCATGAGTTGACGTAGTATTCCTGGATTGAGTCTGGCAGCTATACTTCAAATTCTTTATAACAAAGTTTTTTTTTTTTCTCCCTTTCTTGACAGGCTAACCCATCCTGTTCGGCGCCTATCTTTTGTATGCTAGAGGCTACAGTTGGGCATTTGTCCAGTAACAATCTTTTTAGACGTTGAAACTGGGTTTTCACGTTAAAAAAAACCTTACAGAAAGGCAGGTGTATGGGCTCTCTACTTCAGCCCAATTAGGTGAAGAAAACAGAAAAAGGAATTAGAGGCCCAGACTCCAGTAATAATTAACAGCCGTTAAGGAGTCAACGGAGATTAGCATCTCTAGTGGCTCGACCTCATTGGGGTGCTTGATGAGCCAAATTATTGTTATACCTTTGCTGCCTTTTGAAACCAATTTTATGCTGGAATTGATTTCCACTATTCAAGTAATTTAATCGATTTTTTTTGCTAGTAAATCTTTTTATTTAAAATAAATTTCAGAATTTATTCAATTTGAATCGGTGAAAATACATTATTTATCAAACTTGTTCTTATTTTTTAAAGATTTTTTTCAAGTTTATGTGATAGAGAAGAATGTGATTAGTGAAATTATTTTTTAATGTATCAGCTTTGAAGTAAATCACATTTTAGTGTGATGTGCAAGTTCATATATATATATATTATAAAAGGAGAATATTCGAGTACTTTGTTTTCAGCCATAATAGCTAGCCGCTTTCAGTTGGTTAGGGCTTGTTCAGGTATGAACTTGAACTCCACATAAATATACAGTGCATGAACCAGGAGATATTCTCGTAAAGGTATCCAGTATGATTTTTCAGGCATAAATTGACAGAAAGCTAACATGCTGTTGATGTTCTTATGACATTTCAATAGGAGGCGTTAAGGTATGGTTTTCAGTTTTGCCGAAGGTTTTGTCGTTCATGGGCTAAATTATTGGACAGCTTGAATTGATGGAAACTTCTGCACTGATTTAGAGGTTTTGTAATATTATTGGACCACTCATGCTAATTTCATCTGGGTTTTGATCATCTGTGCTACATAATAGCAGGTGATTTGGGGGGCTTAGAATTCTTATTTTAGAAGAAGAGAGAATGCCCCCAGCTTCCTACAGATAAATTTTTCGAATTTAGTTCTAATTGCCACTGCTCTTTTGGTTGATTGCAGAACTCGAAAAATTAAAATCTGGTTAGCAAAATAGGCTTTTGTCAAACTCCAAATTCCTGAACAATAATTTTATCTAGAAAGAAACATACAGACTGGAAAACTTCAATTGCAATTATTCTATGATTACAAGGAGATAAGATTATGTGGAAGTGACTTCTTCACATATTTTAAAATCCACGTACAAATCCTTTATTTGCTAATACAATAACAGGTATAATAATCTTTTAGTTATATGTGGCTTTTAATCAAAGTCCATAGAGGTCACGGATACCGTCGATGTCATCCTCTTGCAGATTCCTTTTTGTCTTTCCATAATCAAAGTATGGATACATGATTGCATCTGGATGGTCTCCGCTGTGACCAAGTCCGAGTAAGTGACCTATTTCATGCACAGCGACGGATTCCAGGTCTAGCTCTAGACGTCCAGGATTGCTGCTCCAAGTTTCATCAGCATCAAAATGTAGCATCCCGATAGTTGGTCTAAAACCATGGGCAAAGATTCCTCCAGGGCCATCAAATGGCTCATCATCTCCGTGGTCTAGTTGGTAAAAGGCAATTTTAATATCAGCATCGGCAGAATTAGGCACTTCTTCGAACGTGAAGTCAGTAACTTGTGCCCATTTTTGAAAGGATTGTTTGCAAACAGACCTTATACTCTCTGCACCAGCGACTTGGACAGTTGCGCCAAACGTGTACTTCAAATGCTTTTTGGACCATCTGGGGGCTCCAGGGAAGAACGAATAGTCAGCATTGGCCACCCCATCAGAAGACTTGGAGCTATTGCGGTGCTTTGTGCTATTGAAGATATCAGCCACACCACATCTAGGCTTCATCATTTGATTCACGGTACGTTTGTCTAGCCTTCCAGTGACTTCCAAATGAAAGTTTTGCTGATAGGTTCTGATAGCAGACTCCAAAAGGTCATCGAACTCGTCATCGTCAACCTGGTTCCGGTTCTTGTTACTTGAAAGATCATAATCCAAGTATCCAAATTTCTTCAGATACTGCTTTACAAGGTGCAGCTTGGAAACAGATTGACCTTTTTGGCTTTCCACAAGGTTCAGGATGGATTTGAATGGATGATGCCCAGTTGGTTCTGATTGGACAAATTTTATCGGAATCACTAGGAGAAGAAAAAGGGATACTAGAAATTTGAAGGTTTTTTCAGCCATACTTGGAAGCCTCTTTCAATATTGGTTAGGACTTCTTCAAGTATGAACATGAAACTCCACATAAATAAATATATAGTGCCCCAACCAGAAGATATTCTCCTAAGGGCTAAGGGTATCCATTATGTTTTTTCAATCATAAATTGACAGAAAGCTAACATGTCGTTGATGTTTTTTTAACATTTCAATAAGAGATGTTAAGGTATGGTTCTCAACTTTTCCATAGATATTGTCATGTATGGACTGAATTCTTTCAATTATTGAACATCGATCTTGACACTAACGGAATTTTGCAATTATTAACAGAAGAGTGTATTAATATTTGTATTTTCAGTCTATTAACGTGAATTTTATTAATAGATTCACCAACACAAATATTTTATTAAAAAAACCATTATTAGTGATTTTTAATTTGTTAATAAATTTATTAATAATAAAATTTCCAACAGATAAAGTGCATTAAAAAGTTGAATATACTAAATTCATGAATTGATTGAAACTACGTAGTGATGTAGAGGTTTTCGTTGTTATTGGACCAGTTATACAAATTTCACTTCAAAACAGAAATATTTTGTTTCTTTCAATATAATAAAATAATTTTAAAAATTCTTCACAAATTTTTTATTTGTTGATGGTGAAGGTTCCTCTTTCATAACTTGAATAGACTGGAATCTATACATAGTGTGATGTGATGATATTTTTAGCCTTTTCACATTTAAATATGATGTGATGATATTTTTTAGCCTTTTCGCATCTAAATATGATGTAATGATATTTCTGAAACAGAGCGAGCCATAAGTGATTAGTTGTAAATTAAGGAACAAATGTGTGGCTGAAAGCCTAAAACCATTCCACATCAGTCAATTATTATTTTCTCCATCGGTCGGGTATCAGGGAAAGTTTTCATGCATGAGATTTGATTGGTTCTTAAAACAGGGCACTCATATCCATACCTATCTGTTCATAAGATTTTTTTTTTTTTTCTTGTAGCCTTTCTTTAAACTCAGATTCTAGATAATGATGATGAAAGCATGCAGTTTACCTAGCAATTAAAAATAACATCTCGAGAGAATATGTAATTATTTGTAATGATTTTTTTTTTCATTCAATAAAGAAAATAGTTCATAGGGTCACTGCTCACCGTTTTTAATGGCTCAAGTGCCTTGAAACGACATCCAAATAATACAAGAGGGATAATTCATAGTGTCGATGCTCATTCAAAACGCATTAACACATGCCTGTAGTTGTAACATTCTTCCAATTGGAGAATTATTGGACGAACAAACCAAATCCCACAGGAAATCAGCCTGTGGTGTCCTCTGTGTCTCGTGTACTTTCCCTTCTTCGAAGAATGCACTTGTAATGCCGGCTTAGGAATTTGAGTTAAGCTGAGGTGGTCTTCTTGTTCAGTATTAGCAAGATAGCTAGGTTTGAACTTTGTTTCTCGCACCAAGCCAAGAAAAAATCCGTAGACGTGTTCAATGTGCCAAGAAAAAATCCGTAGACGTGTTCAAATTAAAAAAAAAAAAAATGATTGTTCGAGTTGTGGGGGAGAGAGGGGTTGCAGATGGCAATTCAATTTGTGCATTATCAAAACAAATTAGGCAAACTTGTCTCTATATTTGAAAAGCTTCTCCACAGATTGCAGCTGATAGACGTTATGCTCTGTGTGCGATGGACTTGACCACTAGAACCAATCCTAATTCCTATACATTAAACGTCTTTTCTCTGGTGGACATCTTGGGTTTCGTCGGATGAAAATGTAGAGTACAGTATGGATGGAATTATTATGCCTGCGGTAATGCTCTGTGACACAGACAACGTGCGGCTGGCTGCACAAATAGACCTTGAAGAGACTCGTCCAAATAATCCACGATTATTTGTATTATGCAAACATAATTCATTTACAATCTCAAAGAAATGGTTTGCAAAATAGTTTTAGGCTTGCAAGGAGACACTTTGCAAATAAAGACTCCAGCCACCTCTCTAAGATCAGGATGGCCTAATTAAACACAAATTTGTAACTAGAAACTGATGGAAATTTATTCTTAATTTAGATAATAGAAACTGCAAGCATCATTCTCCTTTTGTACGCGCTTCAATTAGCGAATCCGTATAAAGCTCGTACACCCTGAATATCATCCGCACGCAAATCCCTTTTCGCAACCCCAGGAGGAATTCTGGAAGACATGATGGCATCGGCATTTGGATCATCATTGTGGTCAAGACCGAGGAGATGTCCTATTTCATGCACAGCAACAGATTCCAGGTCCATCTGGTTAGGTCCTGGGTTTTCACTCCAATTTTCATCCGCATCGAAATGGAACATTGCATTCCTAACTGGTGGAGTAGCATGCGCTAAGGTCCCTCGAGGACCGTCAAAGGCTTTACCATCGTTATGGTCTCCGCGATGGAATCCAATTACAATATCTGCAGGGGAGCTACCGGTAACTTCCTGAAAGGTGAATTCGGTGACCTGTGCCCATCTCTGAAAAGCTTTTGCGCAGATGGACCTTATGTTCTGTGCAGCCGGGACTTGGACACTGGAACGAAACTTGTACGTCAATTGCCTTTTTGGCCATCTAGGATTTCCAGGAAATAAATTTTAGTGAGCTAGTGTGTGGATGGACTTGTGAGTATGGTAATGCCTTGTACCATTGACAACATCTGGCACGCCACATCTAGGCTGCATCATTTCGTGCACTGTACTATTGTCTAGGCTTCCTGTAACGTTCAAATGATGGTTCTGCTGATATGCCTTGATTGCAGACTCTAAAAGATCATCAAACTCATCGTCATTGGCATGGTTATGGCCCTTCTTTCCTTGATGACCATAGTTCAAGTATCCAAATTTCTCAAGATATCTTTTGAGCTCATGAAGCCCTTCGACAGATCCGTTCTTGTGGCATCCCTCCAGGTGTTTGACGAACCCAAAAGGATCTCCACTTGGTTTTGATTGAATGGTGCGTGATTGCATCGCAACAAGAAGTAAAATGGCTGCAAAAATCGGAAAACTTCTAGCTGTCATTGTAGACATGAAATCCATTACTCTCCTTCACTTGTGGGTTCGAGAGGAGAACTTATGGATGCTAGACACTGATAATCTGGCTTGTTTATATAGCGCTCCTGCGGGGCAGTTCCCTTCCAATCTCGACATTTTAGCTTCCTTGTTGAATGGGGCAAGTCTTTTTGCCCGTTAAGAGGGTTTAAGGTTTGGTTTGGAAACGCGTCCAGACGTTGTTTTTCTAAATTTTGAAATAGTAAATTTGTGGAATCATAAAAATTCTCTCCTTTTTTTTTCTTTGTTTTGATCAATCCCGATGGACCGCTACATTGTCTGTGCTTGAAGTATTTGTGAAGTCTTCCTTGATAGAACCTAGTGTTAGGTTGGTTGCCATTTCATATAAGGCACCAACCATTTACCATTGACTATTGGTAGCCACCATTGTTGAATGAGATAGAGTTGGTGGCCACCATTGTTGAATGAGCTAGAGTTGGTAGCCATCAATGTTGACAACAAACCAAGAAGAGCTTCCATGAATGCCTATAAATAGAGGCATATATGAGAGAGCAAAATGAGAGAGAG